ATCTTCAGTGTATGCCAATAAATCCCATGTTTCCCACATACCAACTCTTTCCATTGGGTCTTTTCTACTTCCTTGTCTACTAAGAACTCAAGTACTGTTTCTATGCCCAATTCTCCACTTACTATGCTCAGTTGTCTCAATCTTACGGTTAGGCCTACATGGAGCACTGTAAATCCCTTACTGCACCTGAAAGACTTACCTGAGACAAGGCCCCCAGAGCATTGCAGGGGATTTGGTTTGGTCTGGAATCTTCTCTGCTGCAGCAGTGTATTGCCAATTAAAATCTGTCCTTCCAGTTTAGTGAGTGACAGACTTCTTTACCTTGGACATTTCATTAACTCTTTCTGGATGTCTCAGCTTCCTCATATCTAAAATGAAAGATAATACCACTCTACAGAGCCATTTCAAGCTCTCAGGGAGTTAGAATATAATAATTACTGTACTTAGAACAATAGCTGTTCTCCAGTTTTATTAACCACACAAGCTATTTAATGCTGATAAGATACGCCTATTAAAATAAGAAAGAAATGCATGAGTGTTTCTGTCTACACACTTCCTTATATTGACAGAGTGAAGGCAACTGGATGAAAGAAAGGGACATGACTTTTCAACAGGTCAGTTATTGACAACCAATGGCATTTCATGGCAGTACCTGCAGCTATTGACCCGGAATGCAATCAACTGGTACTCAAACCACAAATATCAATACATTTTAGACTTAACCCAGCAGATATTATCTGAGCAGTAAATTCCTTCCCAGAACTCATTTTTTTGGAAACTATAAAGGTCAGAGCACATTTCAAGGGCAACACGATCCTCTATGGGGTTTGTTATATCTTGTAGTTATCAATGACATCAAAAGAACATGAAGTGTCCAGATCTGTGTCTTTGGTTGCCACTTTGCCAGAGGTCATAGCTATAAGAAAGCTCATGGGATGAAAAGCTTCTGAGTTACAGTTTCTTCCTTACTGACTGTACAACCGAGTGGGAAAGAAGAGAAAGTCAGGTTCCCCAGCCTTTCTCCGTGCAGAGAGATTTTGCATGGCAGGTTGCCAAAACAGAGGGCAGCATCCAGCCCCCTGTATGCTGCAACACAAAGGAATCATTGTGTTGGTCCAATGTGTGGGTCCACTCAACCACTAACACCCTTCAGTAGTAGCTACATACAGTCTCTCACTTAGAGTCAGAACTTCTCAGTCCAACCACCTTGGTAAGGGAGTCATGGCCACGGTGAAGCCTCACATTTTCTTGCTTTTGGGTTGTGTTGGTTTGAGTCTGTTGTCGAGTAATGAATGCTAACCCAATTATTGCTACTGACGACACTTTGTTCAGTTCCCGTTTCTCGGTATATTTTTCTATTTAGATTTATAAAAATGATAGGGAATAAATATGAATCATCAACATTTTGGGGAGGAGGGGTTGTTGGGGAGGGAGCCCGGGAGCTTGACACCCAAGGCAAGTATTTTACAACTGAGATATAACGCCAGCCTGTATCAATATTTAAGTGAAGGCTTTGAAGGTCAGCCTTCTCTGATAGTTACATAATGCTGGTTGTGGGATTGCTTCTCTGGCCCCTTGAGCCTACAAGATTGTCCTAGCAGGAATAGGCAATTGAGAGATGAAGAAAAAACAGAAAATCAGAGGACTTTCGGTTAATTAGGGAGGTTATTTGTGTCAGAAATGGTACTTATGGGGGTGTTGTTTCAGAAGGTTTTTTTTGTTTTGTTTTGTTTTTTTGAGACAGGGTTTCTCTACGTATCTCTGACTGTCCTAAAACTCCCTCTGCAAACCAAGCTGGCCTCGAACTCATAGAGATCCGTCTGGCTCTGCCTTCCTGAATGCTGGAATTAAAGGTGTATGCCACCATGGCCGGGCTCAGACCATGTTTCTGGTGTTGAAGAGAAAATGAAAGGCATCTTGTGGATGAAATCTCCATATAGCTGGCCTTCCTGCTCTTACCATAGAGCTAGTCCTGCTGGCTGGGGCCCTCAGGGAATGTCTCAAAAGGATGAGCATATTAAAAATGCTATGTTTCATTCACAGTAGCACCCCTGCCTAGGATTTTTCTTTCTTTTCTCTAACTTCCCCACTCTTCTCCAGAGTGGTTTCTTTTTTCTCTCCACCTTGGCTTAGTGATTTACAGCTCATGTTTGCCTAGCATTGCATTCTTCTTTTGGAAGACTGATCCCCTTATTACCTAGGTCCTTTATAACAAAACGACCTCTGAAAGCTGCCATGACCGTTACCTACCCCAGCATTAAAACAATGACGGAGCCGGGTGGTGGTGCTCACCTTTAACCCCAACACTTGGGAAGCAGATCTCTGTGAGTTCGAGTCCAGCCTGGTCTACAAAAGCTAGTTAGTTCCAGGACAGGCTCCAAAGCTAGAAAGAAACCCTGTCTCGAAAAATTAAAAAACGAAAACCAACCAAACACCTTCACAAAAAAAATACCCCAAAACAAAAAACCATGATGAAACTCTAATAAACCACAATAGCTTCTTCTATAAAAGTAAATTCCAGAAATCATTAAGTCTTTTTTGAGGCTGCATTATCATCTTTGGTAGCCAACTACTAAGTGCAATAGTGGATAGGGATCAGGTCACCTTACGGTCAGCATTGTGCTTAAATTTAAGTGGGCTCTTCTCTAGGAACTTATCTGGCAACTGATCTGAACTGTGTTCCTGTGAGTGAGATTGATCACTGAGCAACAGCACTGGAAAGAATTGCAAAACTTAGAAACTTCAAGTTCCATGTCCAAAACACCAATGTTTTCATTTCAACAGTCCAGTCAAATAAGTTGGCTCCATTTTTAGTACACAGTTGCTCCCCTTTATGTCTTTTAACAGTTCACCTTGTTCTTCCTGAAATATGACAGTGTTGACTCCTGGGGCCCTTGCACTTGCTCACGGTCTTCTTACACAGGTCCCTGATCAAAAATTTATCTCTACACACGTCATGATAGGGCTTTATGTTCTTATGTTCTGCATAGCTCCCAGTGCTGCTGGGCTATCTTAGTTCAGCCTCTCTGTAAAGCAAGGGCCTGAAGCAAGCAAAGTTCTGCACTAATGCTCCAGTTGGAGGCGCTATTCCAGGGAAAAAGAGAACATGGACAGCATGGACAGGGGAAAGAGACACACCATGGGAACACACAATGCTGCTGTAGGATGCTGGTGAACTCGTTCACAGAAACTCCTTTGGGTGTCTCAGCTCCACTGTGCCTGATGACTACTTTGCATCTCCCCTTCTAGGGTATCTGCTTGCTTCCTTTGGGTGCTAACTCTCCTGCATTGGCTTGTTGTGTTATGAGGTCCACTAAGATAATAAGCGGCAATGCCACTCTGAGCTGCTGCAGGTGGGTTTACTCCCAAGAGGACTGTGGCAATTAGTGCCAGGATTGCTTCAGCCTCTAAGCACCTGAGTCTCGGGAATCATTGCAGAAGAGGAGGAAGAAAGATTGTAAGAGCCAGAGGAACAGAGAATTTGCTGTGAGATTGTGGCTCACAACCTCAGATATGTCAGAAGCTACATCTATAAAGTCTCAACATGTTTTCCTTAACAACAACAAGGATGACACTAACAGACATGTTAACATGGATGGGGAAAAGCTCGTGTGACCTCAAACCTGTAGTTCTAGACAAAGAACTGTAGGCATCTAAGGAATTCTGAAGTGGGAGAAATAGCCTTCCTTAGGGAAGAACATATCATTTTAATATCCCATACCAAATGGTCAGCTCTAAAAATACATGCATGCAAGCAATATTATATAGACAGAGCAGACTGGGTGGGGGCACAGGGCAAGAGTGTGACAGAAGAATCTCAGGAGCTATGTGGCCAGCCAGTCCAGCTAAACTGGCAAACTCCAGGTTCAGTCAGGGATTCTGTCTCAAAAAGTAAGATAAAGACTAACTGGAGAGGATACACAGTGTAGACGTCCGATCTTCACACACACACACACACACACACACACACACACACACAAAATGTACACATACATACACATGTGTACACACATATATACATGCACGCACACACACCCTAATCAATTAAACCAATAAATGATCTAATGAAATGAACAGATACTTCTAAAAATGATATAAATTACCAACAAATATATTAAAATTTTCAATATCTTTAGGCACCAGTAAAATGCGAATTAAGACTATACCAAGCTTTTATCTTACCATAGTCATCAATGGTTATTGTAAATCAAAAATAGCGGCAAATGCTGGTGTGGATTTGAGAGAAAGGGAACAAACGTTGATGGGAATGTACATTTGTAGAGCAAAATAGAAATCAATATGGGTATTCCTCAAAAACTTGAAGGCGGGGCTGCTATTTGATTCATAGGTATCATTTCTAGGTACATACAAAGCACCCTGAGTAAACATCAAGCCTCCGTGGTTTATGGGTGACAGTCCTCTCCTGTGTCACTGTGTTTCTGTGTACATTTTTGTCCTCTCGCCTCTTATAGGGGACATCGGTCATGTTGGATGAGAGCCCCTCACTATAACCCCACTAAAACTTAGTTGTCTCTTTAACGATTAGATCTGTACTTGTATGGTCACACTCTAAGATTCTAGGGGTTAACATGGTTCCTTGGGACAGTACTCAAGGGAAATATTTGAGCCCATAACACCAATCCTTTTTTTTTTGTTTTGTTTTGTTTTTTTGTTTTTCGAGACAGGTTTCTCTGTGGCTTTGGAGCCTGTCCTGGAACTAGCCCTTGTAGACCAGGCTGGTCTCGAACTCACAGAGATCCGCCTGCCTCTGCCTCTCGAGTGCTGGGATTAAAGGCGTGCGCCACCACTGCCCCGCTAAGAACTTGATTTTGCCCAATGTGGGATAATGTTCTGTTCTTCTCCTTGGCCCTTGACTGAAATCAGCAATGTACATCAGAGTAAGCCACAGAAAGATCCAGAGATATAAGAAGAGGGTTTCATATGAAGTAAATAAAAGACACTCTCATCCAACCAAGGTTCACTGTTTAAATTATGTTTATTTATGCCAATGCAAAATACAATAAAACCACTTAAAAAAAAAACAACCATCTCATCTTCATGTAACATAACTCTTCAGTGAACAGAAGCACTACTGGCAATGTTTTGGCCTTTTCAAGGTCCTGCCTCAGGTCAAAACGGTATTTAGGGAAAGAAAAATTCTTCCTAATACACACGTGAAAGAAACCTCTATGTTTTAAAGTCTCATTTCAGCAGTAATGCAAAAATAGCACACACAGCCCTGTGTAATGGGGGCAGTGCTGCCGTATTATTGGGAGTGCCATATTATTGGGTCGTTCAGGGATCCAAGGAGATTCATTCAGCTTTTTCTTTTAGGTTTAGCTGTGTACTAACTGACTAATTTACCTGAGTTATTTAAAAAATCCAGAAAAGAAAGACTCCAGACAATCAAAACATACACAGACATATCGGGAAGGAGTGAAGGAACTTTGAGACTAAGTTGACAATCCAGTGGATGACCATGAAGCCGCCACTCTGAAGAAGCTGCTCATCTAGTGAATGGTTTCACGTGACTTATCCAGTCACGTGACTATCCACAATGCGCAAAAATCTAGCAACTGGCCCGCATACCAGGGACCTAAGCGCTATTTGTTTCGTGTCAGTAGACTTTCAAACTAAGATAGTTATGCCATAACTAACACAAGCCTTCTATCGTTTTACTGACAAAAGAGTATTAAGGCAGTAGGGAGAGCAAAGGCTTGGCGTTAGAAGATGGAGAGTCTGTCCCCGGCTCTTCCGCCTACGCTCTGAGCTTCTCTGTGGAGATCTAGCGAGAGCAAAGAGCTTTGCAATGCAGCAGTAACCAGAAGAAACAAAAAGTCTCCAGCGACTTCCTCTCCATTCTGCTACTGAATTGCTGACTGCCGGTGTAGATTTTGTAAGTGGTTTTTACTTTTTAGAGCCTGTGGGTGACAAATTCAGCCCGTGAAGCTGGGCTGTGAATGCTGGGTGGTGTGGACGGGATGGCAATGTCCTACGGGAAGCCCAGACTCCATGAGGGACATGCTGGGTGTAAAGTCATGTGACCTTTTATTCTATTACCCAAGGTTCCTTTTATAGTCCTGAAACTTTTTTTGATAAGCTAACCACTTTGAGTTATTTTTAAATGGACACTTTCATATGACAAAGGTGGAGTTTTGAAGACTGTGAAGCTGGGTGAAACAATTAAGAAATATGGAAGGATGGAGGGGGGACTTGGGGACAAGAGTGAAACTGAGCATATTAGACCCTGTCTTCAGTCTTACTAGCAACATAATTTATAAATTACTCCTTCCTCATCTGTGAAACAAAACACTTGTTTGTGTAAATAACTTGTAAGTGAACAAATCTAAGGCAATTACTAACATTTAGTTTTCAATCTTTCACTTGGGATATTACAGGAAGAACTGTATTCTTTCTGTGGATGAGAAACCAGAATCTCATTTCTCGTACTTAAAAAAAAAAAATTGCCTAGCATGATGTGGTACACACCTTTCATCCCAGTACTCAGGAGGCAGAGGCAGGCAGATCTTGGTGAGTTCAGGGTCAGCCTGGTCAATTCCAGAACAGCCAGGACTTTGTAGAGAGACCCTGTCTCAAAGAACCCCAAACCAAAACTAAAAAACCAACCAACCAAACAAACAAAAATCCTCCAGGAAATGGGAGATTTTTCTGCATGTTTAGAAAAAGCAGTCAGTGTGGGTACAGAATAGAACCATAAGGACTCGGTGACTTTGTGGAGACAAAGGTTTTAGGTAGCTGGATTTAGGAAGCAAATGAGATTATAATTCTGAACATTTTTCAAATGCAAATCAAGTCCCCATGAACCATTTTGATGATGTTTTTTTGAGGCATCAGTGCAACAGGGTTCATATTCCTCAAGCGATCTTGAATTCACCTCTTCACTTAGGATATTCTTCTCTTGATTCTTTTGAACCTGCCAACAGTGTCTCACCTTCAAGCTGAGAATGCCTGATCTCCAAATGACCTAGTATTATCTTAAGTCAACAAAGAAAGGCAAATCAAGCAGTGCATTAACCTTTAACATCAGTGAAGTTGACTTTCCCCTGGCCGAAGGAGGTCTGTTTACCCATCTATGGAGAAGCCAGGCTTGTGCTTTTCCCTGTGTTTGTAGGTCACGTTCTTAAAAGTACTGGTGGAGCCTCTGTACAGCGGATTGGTTCCCTAAAGGACAGGGGGAAAAGGGTTCAAAAAAAAAAAGATACATTTTGTTATTATACCACTTTAATATCTTCAAATGTTTACATTGTAGTTCAAATTGGAGTGTCAAGCTCAATCTTGGAAGTTATTTGAATGATTTTCGATAAATTTTAATTTTATTCAGCTTTATTTCATTTTTTGGTGTGGCACATGCATATGCATACTTCTAAAATTATTATTTTTAATTTTATTGTACTTAATTACTTAGAAGAGGGGCATTCATGTGCCAGTATGCCTGTGGAGGTCAGAGGGCACCTGTGCAGGTCAGAGGGTACTTGTGGAGGTCAGAGGGTACCTGGAAGCCATTTCTCACCTTCCATCATGTAGGTTCTGAGATCAAACTGAGTCCAGCAGGCTTGGTCACAAGCTCCATTACCCTTAAAGCCATTCTTCCTGGCCCTCTGCCTTATGTTTTGAAACAGAGTCTCTTGCTTAGCCTGGAGCTCACCGATTTGGCTAGACTGGCAGGCTAGCAATCTCCAGGGCTGTTTGTGTAAGGAACACCAACACACTCATAGTCACCCCCTTCTATACTCTGTGAAGAAGCCCAGTACACTCAGTGGTCCTGTAGAATAAACTGTGCCTGGTTTATCATGGGGCTTTAGGAAGAAAGTGTATATAGCTTTCAACTCCCTGGGGGAAGGAATTTTATCTACTACTTGACAAAGCAAAATCGTATTTGTTCTCCGAAGAATGAGGGAAACAGACACATCTCCTGGAACCATCCCACTCAGAAGCTGCTTCTGTCCTACTGAGAGCCAGTGTCCCAACCTTTGAGAAAGTGCCATGTTGCCTTTGGTCATATGACTTCAGAGAGTCAGATGCCATCTCTGTATTGAGGGTAAGTAGAGGTAGTTCCGTGGCTAGAGTCCATGGCGGGTAAAAGCTGGGTTGCTGTACTGTCTCTACTCCTAAAGTCTGTCTGGCTAGTTAATCCAGCTGCCACAAGAATTAAGAGCTCTTAAAGATTCAGAGAAACTTGTGTGGTCTCAGGTAGGTGTAGAGTCTCTTTTGCAATAACATTCAGAAGACGTTTTATGAAGTTTAAGGAAGAGAAATTAGTTGACAAAGTAGTCAATTGAAGAGACAGAGTTGGATAGCATGAGCTGCGGGTGGGGATGCAGGCTGAAGCCTGGACGAAAGAGAGATAGGGAGGTTAGGGAATAGGAAAATAAATTGGCTGTGATCTGGGCCTGCTTAGATTTTTGTTTGTAGGCCCCACTCCATAGCTGTCAATCATACTAAAATGTACCTACTTCCCTCATGAAGAAGAATTGTAATGTGTGTGTGTGCACGTGCTAAACATGTGTGTGCAGGTATGCTTGCTTATGTGTGGCATGTGTATAAGCAGCAAGAGGTCAGTGCTGGGTGTCGTCTTCTATCCCACCCCCGCTTTGAGACAGTCTCTCAGTGCTGTGGAGCTCACCATTTTGGCTAGACTGACTGGCCAGTGAGCCCTAGGATTTTGCCTGTTTCCAAGTCCTTCAGCACTAGGGTTGCAGATTTGAGTTGAGGGTCTGACTTTTACAAGGGCGTTGGGGATGTAAACTCAGGTCTTCTTTCTTGCAAGCTTTACCCACTGAGGCTCTCTGTAACCCCACAAAATAGATTTTAAAGTACTCTAAAGGGGATGACGCAATGTCATTTTGTAGATTGTTAACCATTCACTTTTATGAAGTTTTTGTTTCTTTTTTTTTTTTTTGGTTTTTCGAGACAGGGTTTCTCTGTGGTTTTGGAGCCTGTCCTGGAACTAGCTCTTGTAGACCAGGCTGGTCTCGAACTCACAGAGATCCGCCTGCCTCTGCCTCCCGAGTGCTGGGATTAAAGGCGTGCGCCACCACCGCCCGGCTTGTTTCTTTTTAAATTACTTCATTTACTCAAGTCTGGGATAGTTCAGGGGTCCCTTGTGTACGGTCAATGGACTAAGATTCCACCCTAGTAGGAAGGTAAGGGAGATATGGAACCCAGAGAAGGAAAGGTTCACAGCACTGCTGAGGTGGGGGAAGGAGGTGTGTACTGACCTCAGACGGTGATCAGAGCTCAGGAGAGCATGCTAGGGTTGGGTTTTGTCAGCAGATGCGAAAATGGCCAGTACCATATTTATTATTGACCTTTGTGGGATGTCCAGTTGAGACTCAGGCTTAACGCCTGCTTTATGGTGGGGGAGTGTCCACTTTTAGACAAGGCTGGTTCTAAGTGTGTAAGGTGTCCAGGCCGAGTTTCTCCAGAACATCTAGCCTAAGCCTGGATTCTGGCAGCCAGTGGCATATTTCTGAGGCTTGAGCAAAAGCGGTAACGAGAAGGCTCCATCATGGCTCACAGCTTCCTTAGTGACTGCCTAACTGCGACCTGTAAACCCGATTTGCTTAGGACAGAACAAAGTCAATCCATGGCTGCAAGAAATGGCGGGAGAACCTTTTTTTTTTTCTGTCACAAGTCCACTTGTTTTCCAGAAGAAAAACTGTCAAATCAAAGATGAATTTAAATGTCTTCTATTTGTATTTCCAGAAGAAAAATGCTGAGTTTTTTTTAATGTAATAAAAGATAACCTTTCTTTATAGTCCTGACAAAATGTTTCAGGGGGCAAGAGCCAAGATGTGTCTTCAACTCTGTCCCCTTATGAGTCTGTGGAGCTCGATGGGTCAGGTGACTGCGCTGTTTTTTCTGTCCTGCTTTTTAAGACTTAGTTAAGTTCACCCCTTGAGAAGAAATAGGTTTTAGATAAAAACTGAATTAAACTGAAGACCTTTAAGTGTACGCGCCAAGCATACATTTGTCCCAGGAAGAGGATGTGTTAGTGAAATTAGGGCTGAATATTGAATTGAACCTCTTTTGCATGTAAATGAATAATTATTACCTGGTCATCATCTAGTCGGGAACATCAAACATTTGTTATTCAAAGAAACTCAATTTGACGGGGAAATAATATTTTCCATTTATGCTTTTATCTGTCTAATATGTGGTTTTGTCCCATTTTAGACGAAGAAACAGCTAAATTTAGGCATTTGAATTTCAGTCATGTTTAGCTTCCTGAGGGAGAACAATTCATGTTTTGGGGGAAATTAACTGTTAATTAAAACGTTATTCTAAAGATATTAATCATTTGTCAGTACTCACACCCGCGTCGGAGAGCATTAAAATATGCTGGTTAGTAGACACGCATCACAAAACAGCCAAGGGCTTGCTGGCAGAATCAGAATACCCACCTCATTATTTCCAGACGCTTCAAACGAAGGCTGTTAGAACGAATTCATGATTGGGGCTCAACTCTACCTGTACCAAGACTTTGGGGAGACCTGAACTTTTGGCTGAATTCTTTTAAGTACAACACCTGTTCTCATTTCTCCTCACTCCTACACACCAGTTTCCTCACTAAAAACTACAGACTGTACACTCAGGAAGTCACCAGGCCTTGGTGAAATCTGATCAAATCAAACATACATCCTTGCTATCATTCTAGTATCTAGAGTACATCAAACTTTCCTCAGTCGTCTTAAAAACAAAATCTTACATCCGGACCCTTCCAAGTCAGGACTCAGACTGGGTCCATAGATCACATTTGTTCATTATAACTAAAGCATTTTTACAAAGATGAGGTAGATTAAATTTTATTAGCTTTTCCCCTGAGATGTACATTATGATTAGTTTGAAATCATCCCACCCATTATAAATGTTCATTATCAAAAATGGAAAATTCTATTTTCTTTCAGAACTGAGGAGAGCCATATAGGGGAAATAGTGTTGCCATCAATTTATTTAGGCAGATGAACCCAAAGGCACATTGTGTTTGCCTGTGTTTTCTCCAGCGAGTTCGCTGTTGTTGGAATCAGTGATGTAAGGTAATTGCTATTAGATAGCTAGACACACCATTAGAGATTGAGAGATGAAATTAAAACCATGAAATTGTTTCCAGGGGTCTCTAGAAATGTAATTATCTCTTCCTGTGGAAAAGCAACACTGAAAACTGTAGTCTTGTTTTCTGTTTGCCTACTGAGAAGACATTTAAATTATATCATTGAATACATATATTTAGAAGTTTATTTCATGTAGCTACTTAAATTTTATGTTATTTGGGAAAAAACTGCTTGGTGTTTAAAAAGGCTTATCAATGTTGTTTTGTCGCCCATGATATCAGCAACAAGTATTTCCATGGAAATTGGCATGAACAGTCACAGTCTCCATTAACATTATCCCATTAGCCGGCATATAATCAATTTGCAGAAAAGTTTAGCTATAGAACCTAGGCTCTATTTAATGAGGTCGCCTCCACGACAGCCCTAAGCCACCATAGCAGGAGATTCATGAGCCTCCCCAGGTGTTACAAGCCCACCACACTGAGACATCGGGTGTCGTGAGGACAACCCGGAACCAGACAATGGGCTCTTCTGGCTCGCTAAGCAAGAGAGAAATGAAAGCTGCTGGGGCTACACAGAGAGTGGTCATGGACAACTGACCTCTTCTTTTCTACAGGGCATGGCTGAGTCCCCCATCATTTTCAGGTCCCCCGAGTTCACATACCGTTTGCCACTTGGCCTTTGATCGTTCTGCTTCGAACTTAGCGACTTCCTTCCGGTCGTGCAATGACACCAGCAACTTCCAAATGCACAGTAGGACGACTCCGATGAGCAGGATAGCCAGCGACACTCCCAACATGATCATGGGGATGTTTGGAGGTTTGGGGCAGTCTGTGGAGCAGATGGAATAATCTTTAGAAGCTGTGACAATTAGTGTTTTGCACTGAACACATTGTACAATTCTTCTCTCTCTAAGCTACACCCCCATCTTATGGAATGGAAAGACCTTACTCACTGGGTTTTTCAAGTCACGTATTTTCTACAGGAGAGGGAAAATAGTGATATCTTCTTGTTCTGTTGAACTTTTTTCTTCTAAAACTGAGCTACTTGTTTTAAAGAGAGCTTTGTATTTAGTCTCAGTGGAATAAAAGTTTCACAACAATTAAAAAATGAATTTATAACCAGCCTTCCATATCATTGGTTTTGCATGCACAGATTCAACAAACTATGGATTGAAAATATGTCTTTATCAGGCACGCCCTGTCTTTCCCCTTGCTGTTGCTCTCTAAATAGTAAGTGTAATATATATTCGATAGCAGACACATTGCACTGGCTTTCAATCTTCGTTCTTTCTTTCCTTCCTTCCTTCTTTCTTCCCTCCCTACCTCTCCCCCTTCCTTCCTTCCTTCCTTCCTTCCTTCCTTCTTTTCTTCCTATTTTCTTCCTTTCCCTCCCTCCTTTCTTCCTTTCTTCTATTTAACATCTCTTGCATCACAGGCTAGCCTCAAACTCTACAGCCAAGGATGACCTTGAACACTTGAACTTCCTGCCTTTTTCTCCCCAGTGTGGGATTACAGATGTGCCATACTATGCCTAGTTTTATACAATGCTGGGGATTGAACCCAGAGCTTCATTTGTGCAAGGCAAGCACTCTACTAACTTACATCTCAAACCCTGCATCATATTTTGCAAGAAACCTAGAAATGATTCCAGGTATGTGGGAAGACATGTAAATTCTATGCCAGTATAAGGGCCTTCAGTATTCACAGGTTTTAGTTTCTTTGGCCCAGGAGGCTCTGGACCCAATCTCCTGCAGATACGGAGAGGTGACTCAATTGGACGGTTGACTTTAGAACTTTTATACAGCAGAGCGACAGTCTTGTCAAGGAGTTCATTGAATCATGAACAGTCTAATTATTTCATTATTTAATAATAAAAATTATTAGTCCTGCCCGGTTGCTCATGCCTGCAATCCCAGAATGCAGCAGGCAGATACAGAACATGTTGAAGACCAACTTGAGCTCCACAGTGAAACCGTGTCTCACAAACAGAGGACTGGGAGTGTGGAACACTTGCTTAGCATGTGCAAAGGTTCAGGTTCCACCTCCAGAACAGAAAAGATTCCCCTTTACTGTGGGATCCTTGCCCCTTACCCCTGTAAAGACAGAAGATAATCATAGCTTTCTGTTTTGTACAATGCTGATTTCCTAGACTAGAAGAGGGTGGGTTCAATTCTCATCTGATGTACAGTCGCTGTTTGGATTCAATCCTTGAGTCCCTTGACCTCATCTGTGAAATAAAGCACAGCGCTCCCTCGATTGCCCTGATGACATGTTGAGGTAGTCTTGCTTATCAAAACCACAGCCTCCTAGACCCCTCCCCAAAATATTGTTTCAGTGGGTTTTGGGTAATACCACAGGATATATATTATTAATCGTATCTAAGTCACTCTTACGAGCAGGGAAGTGTAGGGAATCAGATATTCTCAACTTGAAGATTTTATGAAATTTTATTTTGGCTCGACGGATGGTATAAAGTAGTTTTGCAGTTACAGTGCACCTTCCTCCATTGCCAGTAAGATCACTGATCGCCCTTGCAATGTGCCAGCAAGATGATAAATCTCTTAATGGAACATTATAATTAAGCCCTTCTTTTGCTTTCCTGGGAAGAAAGTCCACATCAAATGATCATTAAATATCTGCATCCCACCACAGGAAGTGAGGCCACACCCCACAGTCGGTGGGGGAGAAATGAACCCCGCTTATTCTAGCTTCCAAAACGTCACTCTTAAATAGTTAATAATGGAGAGTTGAACACCGAGGATGGATCAAGTGGCTTTTCAGACCCGAATCTGAATAACCCTCTAGTGGCATGATGCCTAATCTCATATACTTTTTCTGGGTGGAAAACCATGGAGGTACATTGTGAAGAAACAAGCAGAATTGAATGGCCTGCTTACGATAGTACCAAGGGCTAATGGAGGTACTGTAGCCAGCAAATGAAGCATGGCTGAGTCCCTGGGAAAATATACGGACCCAGCTATATCTTTGGCTAAGCAATGTTCATATTGCTCCTGTTCACAGCAGGACACAGTTTGCGAGGACCTGCAGCTGGAGAGAGAATCAGGAGGATGCTCAAGTAGGGAGTCAATGAGGAGAAGGTGTGGCTTGGGAGAGAGAATCGTTTTAAGAACCTAAGGTCCTAGGCTACTGTGAATTTCTCAAGAAAAGATTTCCACCCGTGTTCCGAGGCAGGTTTTCACAGCACAGGCCTCTACCTCCCATGCTCTGCATGATATTCCTTTGGGGCTCAGACTGAAGAGCGCTAACTAGGCGGGAGGAGAGGGGTAGCTCTGCTCCTGTGTGTAATACCACCTGTCAAGTTGGGTCACAGCTGTACCTAACGCTGAGGTCCTGACCACCTAATTCTTAGCTCTGGCTAAGCTGGTAGCTGAACCATATGTAGCTCTCAGGCACTGGCAATGTGACATCTGAAGCAGGTTGTACTACAAATCCTAAACAGTTATCTCACAGTCTAAGTATGAAAAATGTAAAATCTAAATGATTTTTATGTTGTTTTCCATGTTGAAATGAGAATATTTTCGACTCAAAGGTAAAGAAAACTAACTTCACCTATTTTCTTTTTGACTTTTTAATGAGGCTTCTAGAAAACATCACGTTTCATCCAGAGCTTGCCTTGACCGTCCTGTTGGACAATGCTAACAACGTCATTTAGGGTCAGGTATTTATTACAGTTGTGCACCCAGTGGGAGGCAGTGTAGCACAGTGGTTAAGAGCCTGGGCTCTAAGCCGGGCTGTCAGAGTTCCCCAGGCAAGGAGTTCTGGGAGTAATTACTGCAAGACCAAGCAGTACCCTTGTTTTCATGCCTCAGTTTCCTCTCCTGTAGGTCAAGAATAACACTAGTGCCCCCTTTGTAGGGCTGTTGAAGATAGTGATTCAGCAGGAGCAGAAGAAGAGAGAGCACGAGCAAGGAACTCAGGACCGCGAGGGGTGCACCCACACACTGAGACAATGGGGATGTTCTATTGGGAACTCACCAAGGCCAGCTGGACTGGGTCTGAAAAAGCATGGGATAAAACCAGACTTGCTGAACATAGCGGACAATGAGGAATACTGAGAATTCAAGAACAATGGCACTGGGTTTTGATCCTACTGCACGTACTGGCTTTGTGGGAGCCTAGGCAGTTTGGATGCTCACCTTACTAGACCTGGATGGAGGTGGGAGATCCTTGGACTCCCCACAGGGCAGGGAACCCTGACTGCTCTTTGGGGTGATGAGAGAGGGGGAGTTGATTGGGGGAGGGGGAGGGAAATGGGAGGCGGAAGCGGGGAGGAGACAGAAATCTTTAATAAATAAATAAATTAATTAATTAAAAAAATAAAAAAATAAGCAAAGATAGTGATTCAGCACATAAGAAACACGAGGAGTGACATGGGGGTTAGTAAGGGCCCCATAAACACAGGGACAGTGACCACACGTGTATTCCTCTCCCTTTTCTGTCTCCCAGAAGGCAAAAGCCTGGATCGTCCAAGCTCAATTCGCAGATGTATCACCTGCAGTGGCTGGCTTCTTCCAGCAAAGAAGGCTTGGCTGTCATATTTTTTATATCTTATATGACTTGTAGGCTCTGACATGCTGTCCCAGTGGTTCTCAATCTGGGGGTCACAATCCCTTTAGGGGGTCCAACCCCTTCCCATGTGTAGTCTAAGACCATGGGAATACACAGATGTTTACATTATGTTTTATAACAGTAGCAAAATTACCTTTACAAAGTAGCAACAAAAATAATTTTATGGTTGGGGTAGGGTCACCACAACATGAGGAACTGTATTAAAGGGCTGCAGCCTTAAGGAAGTTGAGGACCACTGCTCTATCCAGATACAGAAGGAAGATGAGGGATGTAAGGTTGTGCCTGCATCCTCAGCAACAGCAAGCATGCTGGACCAGCTCCCTTTCAGCTTGCTTAGAGGACACTGGGAAGCATTAACCTCTCCCTGCTTTTTCCTGGTTTTCATTTGACCTTCTTTCTCATTCTGGTTTCTAACTTGAGAGCCACAGGTCTCAGCTTAGGGAGGAAGGAACTCCTGACACCTTGGGGCTTCTGGAAGCACCAGGCCTGCCCAGGAATGGGACATTTGAGGTATTTTTGGGCCTGTCAGGAGATCTTGTGAAATCTCAGGGAGATTGTTTTTCCTTCTCTTCCGCTTACTACAGAAGACTAGGGGATAAATAAGACACTACAATAGAAAGGCACCCGGACATCTGTGCGTCCTCTGACGGATGGCGTGTTGGTGCGCTTCTCACACTGTGTACAAGAATAAAAGAACGAATAAGAGTTCAGTAACGAGACAGCATTGATCAGCTGAAGACACGTTCCACGGGTGGGGGAGGTGGGCACGAAAGAAAGAAAAAAGAAAATCAAGCCAGCCAAGCCCAGAAACCTGTAGCGGGGTGTAGGGATCAGAAAGGCAATACCTGCATCACCCAGAACACTGGCCAGCAAAGATATATAAGCCCGAGCAGGGGCCATCGAGAACCCCCACATTTTCTGAATCAGGAGGTGTAGGTGCCCTGCGGTCGTGGATCGAGAAGATGGTGAGCACTTTCTGAAGGAAGGGCTGCCTTTGCCAGTCGGAGTACTGCAGCAGGCCCGCGTCCCTGAGGTTCATGCCACACCGACCCGACCTCTCTTTTATCGGGTCAAAGCGAAGCTTGTTCTCGCTGGTACCAAGGTGGAATTTGTCTCTCTGATAGGCCTCACGCTCTGGAAGTGGGCGCGGTAAAGACCGTAGATACCAGTACCACGTTTGGACAGGACATGGCTGACAAAGGCGGCTTCAGAACCACCCAGCCTGGAACCTGGTTGGACAGGCTGCCAAGATGACGGGGCTTGCTGCCCCGCTTTGATGTCACATCTAGAGTCCAAGAGAGGGAGAGGTTCTTTAAACTTCAGTTTCTTTGTCGACCCAGACCATATGAGGTTGACCGCCTGGGACAGTAGGTAGCCCATCCTCTTTTCCCACTTCTGAGAGGCTTGTGTGCTTTACTGGTCTTCTGGCGAGAGGTTCTGCACCCGCTGGCTAGTCAACTGTAAGCAATGGTCCATTAGGACCTGCTGCAGCTTCAATATCTTCCCCGGAATCGTTCTGAAGACCTTCTTTCCAGAGGAGTTCTTTGCCAGCTGACCCTGGGGTTTGGCGTGGGTTCTTGCTCACGACTCTGACTCTGGGTACTTGTTCGGGCCTCAGCCTGGCTGGAACCCGCTCTTCTCCTTCAGTTCATCCCTGTGCAGTCTAAATCTCCACTGCTGACAGTGTCCTCGCTGTTCAGGGACAGCCTGCTCTCTCTCTCTTTTAAGAGTTCAAGAAACCCTGTTCTTTTTAACCCCAAGATTTGGGAGACAGAGAAAATGATGTCTCAAGACCATTCTGGGCTACACAAAATCAATGCAGAAACAAATCCAGGAGGAGGTGGTTCACACATTTAATCCCAGTACTAGAAAGTCACAGGCCTTTAGTCCCAGCACTAGAGGGAACGTAAACCAGGAGGAGAGAGGCTCTGATCTGCTGAGTCTGCAGTTGCCCAGCCTTGGTAGAGGTAAGACTTCTCTGATGGCTTGACTGCTTTGCTTTCCTGGTTTTCAGACTGAACCCCAATATCTGTCTCTGGGTTTCCATTATTCATGCTACAGAAACCCACACATGAAAACACGGCCTTCCACGGAAAGTCGCTTTGTTGTTCCGGATGTGATTTCCCAATAGAATCAATTTAAGGGGTGGTTTTGATTTCACGTTAACATGCTAAAATCACTACCACAACTACAAACACAGTGATGGGGGTTTGTAATTGTAACTGTATAAAGCTCATAATGAGGGGACAGGATTTTTTTTAGTTTTATGAAATAACTTGCTTATTACACAGTGTGACTCACCCGGCTTCCTTAACTGACTGCAAAATGCATTTTGTGTTTATATTTCTCAGAAATATGCCGGGAGTATCCTGCCCTCCCAAGAATCAAATCCACATCCCCAGTCATCCCCACACTTCACGAACTGTGCCCGACCTCCAGCTCTGTTGGCAGGATAATGTGACATTTCTCTGGCCATTTTCTTGATCGTAACATGAGGTTTAAACCCACTTTGCAGGTATTTGGTTTCTTTTCAACCTTTAGTGTGATCATCAATTTGATAGCTTTGATTTCAAGATCAGGACTTAACATTCTCCCAGCGCATTGAAAAGCAAGTCCACACAACAAACTCCATCCGCTGTGTGTTCTGCTGTTGTCTGGGCCGGACCTTGGGCTCCAAACCCCAGACTGATGAAGTCACTTAACACAGCTGTCATTTCTCTGGGACATTTTAGGGAGGGGTAGGTCACCGCGGAAGACAGAAAATGTGAGTCACCTGTGCGTGTTTCAGAACGCCGCCAGGGTTTGTTAGCACAGTGGCTCCAAAAGCGCCTGGACCATCTGTGCTAAGTTGGATTGTTGGAATGCAGACCCAGCGCATGCAGGCCTGCTGACTCGGGATAACAGCCTTTTAGATAAACAGGGGAGTCTGATACACACACAATTTGAAAGCTTCTTAAAGATGTGTTCTCCACTGCTTCCCTTTCCATGGTGTGTAAACTCGTCTTTTCCCTTAGCTGGAGATGAAATTTCTAGGGGTGCATAGGAAACTGATTCCACGAGTTGACAATGATTGAAAATCTACAAAAGCACAGAAACAATTGGCTCTTGGCTGCCCTGGTCTGACATCACTCAGTGGAGGCTGCCTCAAACTCAAAGCAAACCTCCTGCTTCATTCTCCTGAATATTGGCATTAGAGGTGTATGCTAGCTGTCCTGACACTTCGACATCTATAGCCATAACCTGATTTGCTGCCTGTGTCTTTCCTGATCCAAGAGTCTCTTTTAATGGACCATTGCTGGGAAGCCTCTTTTGGCATGTATATTACATCCATTGTTCCATTTATTCCTTGAGTTATCTCTTAAAAGTTTGTGCCACTGTTTTTCCCATTTTACAGATGAGGAAATAGAGGCTTGGAGAGGCAAGAAGATCCCACAATCTCAAGCGGTGATTGCACAATGAAACAGTTTTTGAACCACCACTTTAACTTGGTTTTAGAATCTGTTACTCCTTCCTGCTAGGTTTTGTTTTTTTTTTTTTTTTTTTTTTTTTTCAGAAAAGCAAACCAGTTTGTATTTTGTTTTCTTGGTTCACCTCTCCTCAGGGCCAGCAGCTAGCTGTCAAGGAGGTGATGCTTGGGACAATGAAAGTTATCACGTTACCTCATCTTCATAAAAGACGCAGGAACACAACAAAAGCTTTAATGAAGGATCTTTTCAACCTTGGGAGAAGCCCTTTACCCCAAACTTTGAAATGTCTTTTCCTGGCAAGCCACCTGAAGTGACTGTCTGGGTGCCTCGAAAGGTAGTATCACTTGACCTTGACGATGGAACCCAAGCTACCCACCTTTCTCATTGATGCTGTGGATGATGGCCTTCCCCTCATTGTCTGTGGTTATTAGGAATGTAATAAGACATTCATTTTCTCCTTGTAGAGAGCAGGAAACAGAAGTATCCTTTGAAAAATCTGCAGGTGAAAGAATCATTCATTAGGGTAAATGAGATTTCAAAAGAGATCATTTTTAAAGCAAAACAGTATTGAGTCTTTCAGTATGCAAATTAGGGTTTTCAGTTCTGTCGGATGGGAACTGAGAAGCATAGCAGATGTGGTCAATCAGGACTGACCATCAGAATTCCCTCTGTCTGATGGAGGAAGACTTCAATCAAGAGAAAGCAGCACAGTGCAGGTGCCCACCACTGCCCGGGGGATAGAACGGCCATGATGATGGTAATGGGGGGGGGGGGGCAATGTGTTCCTCTCTGCTCAGAGCATCTGGGAGGTTGGCTAGGTGACACTCTGCTCGGGGCAGATGGACACTGATACTGGCAGAGAGGGCTTCTCCATGGTGCAGCCTGAATTGCTGGCTTGGCATTTGTCACATGGTGAGAAAAAATTAATATCAGGAAGCCGAGACAGAGGGGTTCTGTATCTCGGAGACCCGTAGGATAAAGGGGAGTCTCAGATGAAAAGGAACCCAGGTTCTCCGACACACAGTATACCTTCTTTCCTAAGAAGAAAGCGAGATCTTCCTCAAATGGTTTCCCAAACTGAATGTTTTCCCTTATGAAGCTTAAGAGTTAGAAATGTGAATTTCATGATAATTAGTAATAAAATTTTATTTATGGTGATAAAAATGTAAAACTCTTAGTTCACACATCAAAAATTCTGATGGTCCAGCTACTCTGCCAGATTCCTCTAGTATTTCTGAATTAAAGCAAACAGATTAGTTTTACAATTCTTATTCTAATTTGGAAATTCTTGATGAAACTATTAACAGTTTTTCAGAAACCTATAATTAAAATAACATTTGCTCTGAATCTAAACTTCTAAGACATATGCTCCAATAATAGTGTATTAAGACAGACTATGAAAATCAAACTATCCCAGGTAATCTTGGGCCTACTCTTTCTGGAGTGTGATTTTTTTTCCCCATTAGCTTAAATTTTTTTTTTTTCCAAAACAGGTTTTCTCTGTTTATCCTTAGCTGTCCTGGAACTTGCTCTGTAGACCAGGCTGGTCTTGAACTCAGAGATCCACCTGCCTCTGCCTCCCAAGTGCTAGGACTAAAGGTCTGTGATACCACTACCCAACAGCTTAAGTTTCTAAAAGGTATTGATAGAATTTGTGTGTATGTGTGTGTGCGCGTGTGTGTGCATTCTTACAAGAAAAAATAAAGAGCCTATTTAGGGCTATTTAGGGCGCAGAAATGCTAGCCATAAAATATAGAAATATTAAGTTGTCATTGTTTGTCTTTGCATTTAAATTTAAGAGAAACCCCTGATAGGTCCTGTGACTGATAAGCCCTTTATCATTCATGATAGTAGGGACTAGTAAATCAGAAATTCACCATTCTAAATGAGATAGATTTACATGGCCTGAACTGGTTTTGAACTCATTAGAAGCATCTCTTTATGTACATATCCATATTAAGAAATTTCATGCAAATTTTTCATGTTAGATCATTCCCATATGCATATAACAATCTTATTCACCTGGGTCTGGGAACCCAGCTTGGTTGTTCTAATGGGAGAGACTGTGATATGCACAGGACTCGGGCATTAGGTGGTTATTAGACTTATTAGAATAAACATTCTAATAAGATGTCTTGGATGAGGAGATTTGGGAAGCTTTTGGCAACTCAGCCTGTGTTATTTCATGTGTTTGATGGTAAATAGCAGGTACCCTTGTTCAAGTCATAGTTTGGTCCTCTTTATATGACTTTCACCTCTCCAGTGCTTAATTTCCACTCCAATAACTAAGATTCATGAAGTCTTGGAGTGTTTTGGCATTTTGGAGCATTTTCTTTCTTCAGTATTTGCTGCAGCAGTGAGAGCTCACACCCTCTTCTGAACTCAATGGGACGCCAAGCTTTCAGGCTGAACGTATGTGGCTGGTTTAGCCTCCTCACGTCAGTAATATTAATCCCGCTTCTCTATTTTCTTTCAAATGGCCGCATTGAAGCGTTGGGAGGCTTCCTTTGCTTGGCCAAGATTATTGAGGTTTTAATGGAACTGCAGATCTGACCTTTGATTCACAACTCCCCCCTTGTGCTTTAATTACTCCACCGTTCCTTTTCCTGACTTTTGCAGGCTAAATGGGCCCCGTTTTGCAGTGTTTGGGTGTTGAAATAGTATGATTGGATGTGCAATGAAAGATTTGCATAATTAGCCGCTAAGGTTTTCTTTTGTTCATAGAAAATGGCCCTTTCTTTCTTTCTCTTTCCCCTTCTTTGTGAGACCTGAATTACTGCCACTGAATAATACAGGGAAAAATAAGATCTCAGGCAGTCTGGGAAATCATGTTTAATGAAGGAAGGAAAACATATAAGTGGTGGTGGGGGTGGAGAGGCAGATCCAAAGAACGTAGAAAACATAAATGTCTGTATTGACTCACAACCCTGTGTTTTAAGACATCAGCTCTGGGATCAGTTAGCAGTTCTGGAAGTAAACGGTTTCCCAAAGGTGGTCATGGTGTGTGTTGAGGAGTGGTTCTCCTTTTGAGATACATTTGGATATCTCTTTTACATGAGTACCTCTCCTGGCCCTCTTGGAGACCCACACCCATATTTAATGTACATAGCAATTATGAAGACTTGTAAAGCTCTGGGATCCCGAGTTTCCCATTTCCAGAATGTATATGAATACATTGACTTATTGTGAATACATTTCGAAAATGTATATGACTGTGGGTGCTTTATTTTGTGAACTTTTCAGAGATAGTATCTGGTGGAGCAAGCTCTGAGTAACAAGGATCTGAGTGTCTGAATAATGGGGTAAATTAAGAAGCACGACTCCTTCAATAAAACAGAATGAATGTTAGATGTGCCCACCCAGGGCACAGATGCACAATGGGTAAATTCATGTGAGTTAGACAGTAGGTCTGTCTACTCCACGTCCTCAGCAGAGGAAAAGCGGGGCTAAGAGACCCTTAGATGAGGGAGGTCGTTTGTTCAAACTAGTGTGACAACGACCCAGTGTGACAACAACATCAGTGGGCTAGAAGTTCAAAATGATTTGTAAGGAGGCGATTGAAAAGGTGTCTTTTAACCTAACTTGGCCAGATCTCGTGTCGCCTCCTCACATTTGTCCAGATTAGTGCTTAGAGTGGGTTAATAATCCACTGGCTGATTTCAGTAATATCCTCCTCTCTTAAGGAGATGTCAGCCAAACCCAAAGAACATAAATGTTCTAAAAGCCACGTAAGCTAGCCTTTCTCCCCAGAGCGAGCATCTCTGCCAAAAACAGCGACTGCCCTGTTCACACCTGTGGCTGGCGAGCCGCTGCTTCATTTCCTTTTCAGCGCACACTGCCTGTCCCGTGTTGCTGGCGAATCGACTCCCAGTCATTTGCAGGCATTTTCTGCAACTTTTACTCATCTCCCAGAGACAGCTGGTGAATACCCCCGCTGCTGGGACGTGAGCCTGGAGGATGCTCTGAGATGCCTGCTAGTTACTGATGTGGAGATGCCACAAACGCTGCTCTTTCTCGGTGCTTTTATGTGCCTCACCTTTATCAGACAAAGCACACAGCATCTCATTCCATTCGCTGCTATTTGGCAGACTTATCCTTGGTCACCAGAAAAGCACAGATGAGGGGTTTTATGAGCACTCATCAGGCCCTGACCCACCCAGTAGCTCAACTGTAGCATCACTACAATTTTGAAGCATAGCGGCCATCTCCTTTGTTGTAAAGTCTCCACATCTCTTTTTAAATGTCTTTTCTCCTGCTCATCTAACATGCAGGGGCATTAAATATTTGGGATGAGATTTTGCCACTAGATCCTCATTTTAAATAATTAAACATGACAGGAAAGCAGAAGCCCAGCTCTCTTAGCAGTTAGAAGAGGGACTTCTTGAATTCGGAGGATTAGTCAAGAGGGATGGGGGGATGGATGGTGATGTAATACCCATGACTGGGAGGAAGTAAAATCACTAGGAGGAACAGTGGAGGGGTAGACAAAATCCAGCTAGCTCCTGAGCAGAACACTTCCAGGATCTGTAAAGTGCAGTCAGGCAAACCATTAGGGCAGGTTTTATCTTATCTTGACATAAAGCAAACCTGTGATATAGAAAAATTTCAGGCTGTCAATGGCAGTTAAGAGTCATTTCTTCCAATTTCTGTCTTACTAGTTTGGAAAACACAGCCTTGTAGAATTCACTAGGCACCCCTGTCAAGCAGGGGTGAACTCCCTAACAGAACCGAAGACTGATAGAATAGCCATGACTTTAAATTGCTTGCTTCTTGTGCCATTATTTCTTTAGAAAATGCATCTATCCTTCAAAAGGGGACAGAGAACCCCAGCACCTAGATCCTGGTAGAAATGAAGTCAAGATCCTGGGAGTCCCTTGACTCCCACGGTTTCTGCCTCTCAAGAGCTATGGATTTAAGACAAGGAGCACCTTCCTCGCTGATGGTGGCGCCGGTGGCTTGGCACTTCTCCATGCACTCTTGGTCCTGGCCATCTGCAGACAGGTAGCATTCGACGCAGCTTCTGTGGAGACAACAGAGTTCATCAGCTCATATGGTGGAGAACAGGCATGCAGTGGGCATACTGCTTTACTCTTCTCGATGGCGAGATTGACCTCTTTCAGAAAGAGTTGGGTGACTCCTAAGAGAATGCTAAATTGTTCTGACTCCTACTCCATACTTAGTGCTCCCTGAGTCAGCCTTGATGGCATTGTCTATTCTATAGTGACGGCTCCTGATTGGTTGAGAAAAAATACTTTAGTGTTTTAGCTATGCTTTCGTTTCACATAAGGGAGAGTTTATATCCATAAATATGACTAGAATCTAGGCAAAGTAATGAATTTCTTAACCCAAATGATCCATATCTCAGCAAGAATTCTAAGAGTGATGGGTGCTCTCAATTTATGTCAAATAGGATTATTCTAAAATTCAATTTTATGTTGCTCTTTTTGAATAAGTATAAATCTTGGTAGTGTGTTTCTAAGGCTTAGGATTTTAGCCTGGATCTTCATTAATTCAGGCTTCTAAATAAAAGATCGCTGCTTTTAGAAAGTATATTTCCAAGAATCCAAGGATTATAAGATGCCGATAGACAAAAGTAATATGTAAGCCTAGAATGTATCTTGTCCTACAAATAACTTTACAAATAGATTCAGTTTGTAGTAGGACAAATCTGCAGAAGTTTCTGTGTGCATACACATGGCTGGGGTATGGGCGGTCTTCAAAGGACTTAATGCTCATGCCCATGGGATGTCGGCTGAAGCTGTATTACCTTTGTGAGGACACCCAACCGTAAAATTATTTCACTGTTAACTTCATAGCTGCACTTTTCTGTTCTGAATCTTAATGTAAATATCTGATAAGCAGGATGTCTGATATGTGACTCCTCTTGGGATTCGAGACCCACAGGTTGAGAACTGTTGCTCTATAGGCAGGGCTTGGGTCAGCAACCGTGTGGGAGTGAGAGCACCATCTGGTCTTGAAGCTGCTTTTGTGTTTTGAGTATTTCTGGGCAGGCTTTGTGGGGGCCTGGAGCACCCTGAAGAGACTCTTCAACCCCTTTTGTGTGTCTCACTGTGATTGTCCCAGACATCTTGCCTATCCCCAGCATCCTCTACAGCCCCACTGTGACTGCAGCCCACATATCTCTGTTAATTACCTGAAAAAGAAATAGGCAATGGGACTGGCTCAGTGGATAAGGAGCTTGGCATGCAAGTATGAGGACAAGAGTTCAGATCCCCAGAGTCCACATAAAATCTTTTCCCTTAAACAACCCTATACTTGCTGTTAAAAAACCTAACAGAACCTATTGCCTGGTTCAAGACCTCCGGCGCATCAGCTCTTCAGTGGTTCCTCTTCAAATGTTCTTGTTAAGATGTCACAGGAGCTTCATCTTGACTGGGTAAAACTTTTGCCTCTGGCCCTTCTTAGGCTTAGGGCTCTCCCCAAAAGCCCCATTTCCATCTTGCCCTTTGAATCATGTATGGGCAGTCGGTTTTAACTCCCAGCCTCTCATCCAAAAAACTTCTCCCTTTCCTGATCACCTGCTTGCTCTGCTGTTATCCCATCTTCGCTCCCTATTACGGGATTTTACTGACTACTCATCACCTCAACTGTGTGCCAATTCATGGCCACCGCCAATTAAAATAGGAGATCAGGTACTAGTCTATCCCCCAGACCAATGCCACTCATCCTTTCCCCTTAAATGGCAGGACCCCTTTAAAGTGATTCTTGTAACTCCCACAGCTGCCAAGCTCAAGGGACTCTCTCATTGGATCCACCTGTCTCACCTTAAACCTTTTACTCTTCCAGGTCAAGATACCCCCTTGTATATGGTAACTCAAACAGGGCCCTGTTCCCTTAACTTCCAGAGGACCCCAGTTCACGAAAAATAAGTCTCATCACTGTACTCAACTCTCCTGTGCCAAAAACTCCATATACTTACTCTCCCTCTTCCTCTTTCTCCTATCTGCTTTACCAACTTCTTTGTATCTCCAATGCCATGCCTAAATTTCCAGTTAACCGCTCAGCTGTTATTACAGGGACCATTATTAAGCATAGAGTCAGAGGTATGAGAATTGCCAAAAGCCCAGGTGGTAAGGAACAATAATGAGTTTGGGGACATTCACAGCTCCAGACTCACAAAACAGACGTTAACATAACAGGTTTGTCCCTGACTGCAGCAGTGTCTCCTGGATGTTAAGGTAATACCATGATGCTAAGGAGAACAAGTGCCTTTAGATTCGCTTCAAGTAAAACATTAAGGGGTCTAATAATTCCCGTTTCCAATAATTCCCCCTACTTTTCCTCCCTCCTCCTTATCATCTTCTCTTCCAACACTATACCATTGTAATTATAAGCATTTAATATGTCTAAAATTTATTTCTTTTCAAACATTTTTTTCATAAGCTCCAGAGAGCCAATTGGACCTATTTAAATGGATCAGAATCACCCAGAATAAGTATCATTTAGTTCTTCCCTTATTATTCCTGGTCTCGGGATCCCCTGGAAAATTCCCTCTTCCCCCCTCAAAAAAAAAAAAAAACAACAACAAATCCTCTATCTTCCATCTTGGAACTCTCCTCCCTTAATCACCGGGATCTAAAATTTTTTTCCAGACATAATTTTCTGCCTTTCCAGCATCTTGTGAGGGTCAAGCTGCCAGCCAGCCTGTTCCACAGAGCCTGGTAGAAACACAAAAGTCATCAGCGACCCCAGGATGTGGTCAAGCATCTGTACTGTCTGACACCCACAAAATCAGCAGGAAGCAGTCACAAGAGACCTTCAAATGCCCCATTCCCACCCACTAAAGACCTCAAACACCCTAAACTTTTATAATAAACAAAAGGGTGGAATGTAATGATTTCAGCCACAATAAGGCTGACACTTCCGGGTTCTAGGGGCCATGCACGTGCAGACGGGCCCTCAGGGAGAAGTGCCTAATGGCCCCCGGGGATGTTAAAGAGCCCTGTGTGACCCACATGCAGTGTGGATTACATCATCCATGTATGACTCAGCTAAGCTGTTGCACACATGCATGAGCCTCATCATCTGTGTCAACCCTGTGTGCATGTGCTAAGCAGCTTTTAAAAGTTGGATGTGCCAACTCTCTCTCTCTGCACACTGACTTCCCCTGGCCTGTACACGACCCCTCTAATAAACTCCTAAGCGGGTTTGTTGCATGTTCTGTGTTTCCTTCTCACTTGTGCCAGGTAATTTCAACCACCACACATGCACCAACACATGTGTACCATACACATGCAAACATGTGCCCCCACTACATACATATACACATGCAAAACATAAAGTCCATCTTTCCGTTAGGCCCTTAGCACATATGAATGTAGGAACCATAACTGTTAACTGCATGCCTATGACATGTCACTATTTTTGGCACGCAGCATGTATGTAATGTTAGGTAAATGAACACATGCCTGAGAAAAAGGAAGAATAGATTCATCTCAAAATTCATCAAGATGCTGATTCCCAAATTGGAACAACCTCGATAATTGTTATAGAATATTAGTTGAAGATGTGTTGTTTATGCTGTGGAATATCTGTTTAATGATGCAAAGATGTGTTGCATTCTTCTATGTTGCATTTATTTAACTGTGAGCTGTGTTACTTTGCCTGTCTAAAACACCAAATTGATCTAATAAAGAGCCGAATGGCCAATAGCTAGGCAGGAGAAAGGATGGGCAAGGCTGGCAGACAGAAAGAATTCATAGGAAGAGAAATCTGGGAAGAGAGGATTCGAAGAATGAGAAAAAGGAGAAGGAGGGGGCCAGCCACTCAGCTAACCCAGTAAACCATGAAGTAAGAAGTAAAGAAAGGTCTCCAGAATAGAGAAAGACAAAAGCCCCAAAGCAAAAGGTGAACAAGATAATTTAAGAAAATCTGGCTACAAACAAGCCAAGCTAAGGCCAGGCATTCATAAGAAAGAATAAGCCTCTGTATTTATTTGGGAGCCGCATGGTGGACTCCTCAAAAGAGTAAAGAGTAAAAGCCAACTGGAAACAGTTAATTTTGCACCTTACAACCCTGATAAAAGACTAACTCATGTTGATAAAGAAGATGGAAAAGAAAAGGAATAAAAAAAAAAATCTTTACTTTTTTTTGTGGTGGTTACGCCAAGATTTGAACCCAGAGACTCCTGAATGCAAGGCAGTCACTCTGTCACTGAACTGACATTTGATTCAAGCTCCCTACTTGGCATGTATCTCAGCTTGCCAGGGACAGTGACAGGAAAATCGTGACACTGGCTTGGTGGGTAACCACTGGGGGGAATTGATTTTCTTCCTTGTTTATATCACACACGCAAAATGCCACCATTCCAGGAATCAGTTAATGAAAGTATGAACTACTTAATCCTATTTGCTGCTAACCTGCTACACTGTGACCTCACAAGTCATTCAGAGACCTGCTTGAGGAGACCTACAAGATTTGTTCCAATTCTGTAAAGTGAAGCTGCTAAACAGAAATCAGTTTTAATAGAAAAATATGGGTGTATTTAGTTTTGTTATTGTCTTAATAGTGTAAAAATGAAACCACAGTATATATGTATAATGATACACAGAAGTGCCCAAGTGTACCATAAGGAGAGAAGTGAAAGCTAAGATTGTCTTTCTGCTTCTGCCTCTTTTGGCCTTACCAGAATGGGAACGACTTTTGGTAGGTCAGCCTCAAGTCTCTAGATAAGAAGTTTGTCTGTTTCCTCAGAAAAGGAACTGATTGCCTATGGATGTCAGCAGGATACCTCCTGGATACCTCTCCAACTGAGAGACCATCTGATGCTATCAGTAAGGGACATCAGCTACCCCTCACCTCCAACTCCCCCAACCTCCCACCCCACCCCCATCTTTAGCAGAAACCTGGCAGTGTGGTTTTGGATAATCAGGACAAAGAGGCAGGTGAGAGGCTGACCTTCCAGGATGAGGACCACAGTGGCCCTTAGGCTATGAAGTTTGATGGAGGCTGGATGGAGACCAAACTCAGCTGAGACAATTAGAGGTTGAGTTTACTAGATGCCATTTAAACTTCCATCACACAGAAACCTTGCCACAGAAGAGAATAAAGTAGAGACATTACCGCTTAGAGTTACAAGGGTCGCCACAGGTGGGACAGCGTTCACAGGTGGGTCCTGAGGCTCCAGGGTTCCTGCAGACACACTTGCCACAGATGCAGTCCCCACGTCCACTGCACAGCACTCCATCCTCAGATGCACATGAGTCCCTGCTGGTTGTACAGTTGCAGTACTCTCCTGTCCAACCTTCCCGGCAGATACATTCGCCACAGTCACAGTCCCCATTATCTGTAATAGAAACATAACATGTACACTGTGCTCCTTATTCCCCAAGATGAGGAATATCTTTTCTTCTTACCTTTAAATACTTTGAAAGGTTGGAGGGGATTGGCAGAGAAAGAGGCAAAAAGAGAGAGAGAAGCAATAGATGTGTGGATGGATGGATGGGTGGATGCATGTGTGGCTGGATGGATGGGTGGATGCATGCATGGATGGATGTTATGGGACTATGGTCTGTGTACCCTGTCACTTGTATTTTAAATAAACACTGATTGGCCAGTAGCCAGGCAGGAAGTATAGGCAGGGTGACCTGGGAAGAAGCAGAGGTGGAGCAAGGAGAACAAGAGAATTCTGGGAAGAGGAAAGATTCAGTTGGCTGCAGTCATCTCCCAGACACAGAGTAAGCAAGATGTGACTGCCTCGCCTAAAAAGGTACCAAGCCATGTGGCTAACACAGACAAGAATAACGGGTTAATGTAAGATGTAAGAATTAATGAATAAGAAGCCTGAGCTACTAGGCCAACCAGTTTATAATTAATGTAGCCTTCTGTGTATTTCTTTGGGACTAAACAACTGCAGGACTGGGTGGGACAGAAACCTTGGTCAACAGATGGATGCATGGATGTATGGATGCATGGATAGACAGGTAGATAAACAGATGATAGACTATGGATAGATGGACAGACAGATCGATAGACGGAATAATGAATGATAGAAAGACAGAAAGATGGTAGATAGGTGCTCTGTTGGCCATGTATATTTACTAATTTGTCTCCTAGCTGAAAATCACAGCAAACAGAGTAAATAACTAGTCAAAATGAGATCATGCAGACAAGCCCATTGGAGCTCTCAGGCAAATTGTTCAATTTTAGGATCGAGATGAAGGGCAGACCCATCCTTCTATGTCATTGGTTTTCAACTTGTGTGTTATAACCCCCATAGGGGTCACATATCAGATATCCTTGCATATCACATTTACATTAGAATTTATAACTGCAAGTGAGACAATGAGAAGCTGCATGGCAAAAGAATATTTTCCCAGAGAGTTACAAATTTTTCTGTAAGGCAGTGACCTGAACAGACAGGTATGTGTGTAGACACACCCTAACCCCACAGAGAGGTCAAATGAGAGGCAGGAAAGGCAGTTGCAATGTCTTGCAGAAGCAGAGGCCTGACCCATGGAATCATTCCTGAGAACAGTGATGAAAGGACAAGCAATGTAAGCTGGAATGTTCAGAGCAGGGCATGACGGGTAATAGTACAGCACGAAGAAGGAGAGATGGAGTCCTTGCTAGGCCAACGGGCTGGATAGCCAGCTGGTGGCATGGCTCCATGACTTGGAAGCTGGTTCCTGGTTACTGCCACACTCCAATAGCTGGCATGCCCAGATCACTTGTTGAATGCCTGAATGGTTCTGGAACAGTAAAGAAGCTTTGGGTGTGTTGGACAGTGAGTCTCTATGGCTCTGTGGAGTTTGGGAGAGAGAGAACTGTTGGATATCTTAGCAGGCAGTTGAAGATAGAGAGATGAGCCTGGAGGAAGGGGCTTGGGATCCATTAGGGAAAGGCATCAGGTGAGGCAGTTGTGAATCAGGTCGTCTAAGGCAAGCAGGCAGAGAATGGAAAGCTCTGGAGCCGATCAGCCTGTAAAACATGGACAGAGGAAATGCTCCTCACAGGGGAGGCTGAGAGGAGGAGGGCGGTGGGAGCATGGCCGCTGCAGACGCCCAGGACAGACTCAGATGGCAGGAGGAGGAGCCTGGGACACTGGGGGACAAAGCTATTTAGAAGGGAGTTGCCCTCAGAGACAGAGAATGACGGGAGGCGGTGGAAATATGCCCATCAATCATAGTACGTTCACAAGGCAGAGCTGATAGTGGCACTCAAGAGCCCGTTCTGAATCAGACCACAGAACGGTTTATGAACCAGTCCGAACTGGCAGATAGTGTGTTTCAGGTAAGTATCCTTCCCATGGAGTTCTGAGAGCTTGCCAAGGATGATAAACCAAGCATTTGGTGTTCCAAACAAATAGTATTTATTTACAAGCCTCCAGAAAAAAAAATATGGCACAGATACGGGCAACTTGTAGCAAAAAGTTTGGTTCTTCCAGGACAATGTGCATTTACCTAAGTTAGTCTATGCTCGTGTTTACAGTGGTACTCCCCCATAACTGAACTCCACAAGGGCTGGTCAGAAGAAGGTTCCTAAAAGCTATCTATGAGGAAGAACTTGCAGGCAAAACCAATTATCAAAGTTCTATACTTTTATTAGAAACAAAGTAAAAATGAATAGATGCTGCATGCTTCCCCTTGTTGAAGGTGCCGGCAAGTTCACTATGGGACAGACGACTGACTTTTCTCTTGCAACCTCGGTTCTAGTAGTTGGTTACATTTCTGGCTGTGTTTGTGGGCCTTAAGAGATGGACGATAGAAGGGTCCATCATACGCTGGCCAAACCAAAGAGCTTTCAAATTTGCGTTCTGAATGCCCCTGGGATGTGTGTGTATTCTCTGTGTCCACTATCATTCCCTCCCTCTTCCCCAGGAAAGAGGAAACAGGTATGAAAGGGAGAAAACTCTGGGTTGTAATTTATTCTGAAAATCAGCACGGGGCATAAATGTACCTTTCTAGATGCCCAGAGGCTGCCCACTACACCTCTGCATGCAAGAATTCCTTGGCACTTTAGAAAACCCTTCCTGGAACATTAAAAAAAAAAAGACCGCCACAGCAAAAATATAAAATATGCCTTTCAGAACTTAGAGACCCTCTCTATTCCACTGGCCTTTTGGGACCATCATCTAGGTCACTAAAGGTGCCAGTTGAGGTCCTTGGGCAACAAACTCTCTGCAGTACCAGCTCTTGCCACCACAGCACCGCCTTTATATTGGTCTCTTGTATAAGCAAGATAATAACCCAAGATCTAGATGCTCTTTTCAGAGGGATAGATCATTCCGGAATGCCCCTGAAAAATAACTCTCAGTGCATAATCACAAGGAGTTTCTTCTCTAATGCCATTTGCCTGATATAGCTCCCATTCCCTTAGAATCAAAATAGACTAATGGAATTTGGGCAAGGATAAACAGAATCAATGGAGCCTTCTATCTCTGGGTGCTCCAAGATGGATAAAAGACACTGTATGACACAGCGTGCCATGATAAAAGCTTTTCAGAGAAGCAGCGCGCTGTCAAGTCAATTACTGATGGCGTAAGTGAGATCCATGCAACTTGTGAGTGGCATATCTGGTGACTTCGGGCTATCACGGCTGGGAGGACAGCCTCCATCCCTGTGCTGTGCCCAGTCCTGGACACACAGAGGCTGTCCTGCCAATCCTGCCTGGATTTGAATTCTTGTTTTTACTTTCCTGTGCCTTTTAGAGAAGGCACTCAAGTGAAGGAACTTGGCACTGGTCGAGGTTTCTGATGCAGCTAAAGAAATCTTGTTTTCTAAAGAGAATTTCTTGTGATTCCTGCATCTGACTTGATGGATGTCACTATTGTCTGATCTTCCTAACTATACAGTGTATAGGTTGAGTAAACTCTGTTGAATGTATTCCTGATGCTCTGCACACATTTTTTAAAAAGAAAGAAATGGGGATGGGGACACTGTGTTGCAGAGCACGCGCCAGAAATTCCTGTTGCTTTCAATCTTTAAATGCAGGATTTAGTACTGGAATATTGGGAGGGTTACTATTACCCCATTAGGTTAGGTTAGATTAGATTATGTTACAGTTGGGGCTCTCAAAAAGATTTTCATGTGTTTTGAATATGCATTTTACTAAAAAGGCAGTGTGAGCGTCTGCCAAATATATCCTTCGTACTGTGTGAGGATGGCTTTGACATTGGCTAGCTTCTTGTCACCTACAGGTTGTGTCCTGCCAAAATCCAGTAAGATAGATAGATAGATAGATAGATAGATAGATAGATAGATGATAGATAGATGATAAATAGATGATAGATAGATGAATAGATGATAGATAGATGATAGATAGATGATAGATGATAAATAGATGATAGATAGATAGATAGATGATAGATGAATAGAAGATAGATAGATAGATAGATAGATAGATAGATAACTGACATGGGTTTATACACACACACACACACACACACACACATCAGAAAGCGAAACTTTGAAGGAAAAGGGGAGGGAAATGTATCTTCTTCAGGGTAAATGCTTTCACGTAGTTTTCAAACACACTTGGAATTCCTTAAGTCTTCCTTCCTTCCTCCTTCTTTCACTGCTTCCTTCCTTCTGTCCTTCCTTCTTTTCTTTCTTCCTTTCTTTCCATTTCCTTCTTTGTTTATTTTTTGTTTGTTTTATTTATTTATCTCATTATCTTCAGCTTCTGATTCTCCCATGTCAACCTCCTGAGCCCTGAGAAAATTGGTCTTTTATCTGCTTCTGATACTGACTTGGAAATAAATTGCTTAGTTTTCTGTAAAGATGATGTTCCGTTTTGTTGAGACATCTGCTTACATCATGGGATAACCAGGGTGTCTAAGTTTAGTCAAGAGTCAGTGAAAACTTCAAATTTAAAACCGTGTCAACATAGTTGCAGCTCCTGCCAAACATAGGTTATAATTAAATACGTGTATCAGAATAATTTTGAATTGTATTTGATGTAGCATTTTTTCTCCCTCTTTTTAAAAGGTTCATTTTCAACTGCTTTACTTTTCTTATTTGTACATATGTGTCTGTGCATACAAGTATAGGTGCCCGCAGAGGCTACAGGGATGTGACCGTCTGGAGCTGGAGTTACAGGCAGCTCTGAGTCACCTGACATGGGTGCTAGGAATTGAACATTGGTCCTCTGAATGCGCTAACTGCAGAACCCCTAAAACTTTATTGTTATTATGTGTATGTGTATCAGTGAATGCCACATGGGTGCAGGTGTTCATGGAGGCCAGAAGAGGGCATCAGAGCCCATGGAATGGGAGTTATAATTAAAAGCCATCTATCAAGAGCCCTGGGAACCAAAATCAGGTCCCCTAAAGAAGAGTATGTCCTCTTAACCACAAAGCCATCTTTCCAGCATCTAGAGTCAATTCTTTTTGTTGTTAGTTTGTTATTTTGAGAGAGATGGGACTCTTGCTATATAGTCCTGGCTGGTCTGAAACTCACAGTGTAGACCAGGCTAGACTTGAACTCACAGAGATCTGACTACCTCTGCCTCTAAGTGCTGGTACTAAAGACATGCGTGCGTCACCACACCTGGCCTCTGTAGTGTGTTCTTAGCGTGTTTCTCTATCTACAAGAGAAATAAAAGCATATATATATATTTACATTTTAAACCTTTCTTGAAAGTTTCAAGAAATTCCGAGCTACTTTCGCCTTTCATTCATTCCAAGGCTTTCTCACATGTGTGCTTGGCTTTACTTGGTCTAGTCCCTAACCTGGTCTATTTGGTGAGTATTCATGGCCAGGTATGATAGTCACCTGTAATCCCAGTGCTCGGGAACCTGAGACAGGGGGACTGTGAATCTAAACATGGAGGGAGGGGAAACGGAGGGAGGGAAGAGGGGAGAGAGTGGGGAGAAAGAGAAAAAGAGAGAGGGAGGGTGGGAGAGAGAGATGTGAAGTGAAGGCCCTTACATCTATAGCATTTCTGGGCCTTTTCCTTGGTTCCATTCTTTTGGAATGGAACTCTCTGTTTAACTACTACTACTACTACTTCTTTTTCTTCTTCTTCTTTTTTTAATTCAAAGTAAAAGATATAAGAATAGGGTCTGACCCAGCAACCTAATCTAGACAAGTCTGACAGACAGTGAAATTCAGATCATAGCCAGTTTTGTGGAATCTGGGTGGTAACTAGAAAGGCGACATCTCCAACTTTTGTCTACCTAGCCTTATGAAAATATAATATAAATATATAATAAATATATAATAAAAAATGTAAATATAAGCTAACTGACCCCAAAGGAACATTAGACAGGCAGCAAACGCAAGAGATAACTCAGTTACGCCAAGGAAAGTTAGACAGGCAGCAAACGCAAGAGATAACCCAGTTACGCCAAGACTAAGGATTCGCCCACTGAAGCCATCGGCAAATAGTTACTGAACAGCCACTAAGCCCAGGAATGCGAGGAAGGAATGAAAGATGAAACCCCTTCAACAGCTGCAGGAAGAGGTCCTGAGCCATAGCCTACCTCCACAGAGCAGGCCTTTGTGTCGCAGGCAGGAGAAGTTGTCGCACTGGCAGTAAGGTCCGTAGATGCTCCCGTAGGGCGATAAGTGGCAGATGCACTGTCCACAGTAGCAGTCACCTCTTCCACTGCACGAGGGTTGTCCCGGGGACTCCTTGCAGGAGTCCATGCTCACCGCGTCCTCGCCGCACTCACAGTGAGGGCCCATGTGGCCGGGGTTGCAGGCACACACCCCACACTGGAAGGAGCCGTTCCCGTTGTGGCATTTAGAACTGTTCACTTCTACTTCCTTCTGGCAGTGGCAGTCACATTCTGCGGTGACAAGGATTTCCAGGGTGTCCCCTAGCCCCACGGGCTTTATGATAAGGCTTCGGCTTCTTTTCTCGCAATTGGATATGCTCACGGTCACATTGAAGGATGCCTGGAAAAGAAGGACGCTGGTTATCTGCTTCCTCCACCCAGCAGCCTGTAGGACTTTGGGACAAGGCTGGCAGAGACTGGCTTTGCCAAAAGCAGTTAGTAGGAAAGGATTGAAATTTTCCCGAGGAGTCCAGCATTAGCAAGCTGAGCTAGCGTCTGACCCATCTGAATGGTATTTCTGGAGATCTACTGGGTATCTACTTACTGTATCCCCAACTTTCATGTGGGAGCATTTCTTCTGGTTGGGGAAGAGGATGCCATTGTTACAGAGAGCCGTGAAAGACAGACTGAGTCCTTCTGTGTCTCCCAATACCTCCAGTTCCACCTCAGACCGCAGTTCCTTCAGTGTAGACAAGAAAGGGTTAAATGAAGTCTGAAGCAAAAATAAATCCAGCCAGAAGAAGAAACCGAATCGTGCTCATTAAAGGACAAAAGAAAGAACTAGGAAAATGGCTCCGTGGGAAAGGCTTCTTGCTGTGGACGTGTGAGGGTCTGAGTTCAGGTCTCAGAACCCAGGTAAGGAGGGACTCCAGACTGCAAGCCTGTAGCCTGGAGTCTCTGATGAGATGGCGGGTAGAGACACGAGAAGCCTCGGAGGCTTACTGGTGTATGTAGTGGTGAATTAACAAGAGACCCTGCCTGCAACAAAGTGAAAGGTGAGAACCACACCCGCATGCGTGCTGGGGTACGCGTGAGTGTGCTCACGCATGTTCACACATCATACACACAAGGAGAAACAATTATACATTAATGAAACTAAATTGGATACAAAATTCATCATTTCATTAATCAAGTAAGAATGTGATATATACAAATATGTTATATATATATATACATACATATATATATTTCTCAGACATTATCAATGTCAAGATATACTATCTTACGACAATTGAGCTATGAAAACATATCCAAAGGGGGTTTTGCACCGCCTGTGACAGGCATGTGACAGTCAGTTATTGCCTGAAAGCTGGAAATTCTCTTGACCTAAGTTGCACAGCTAGGTTTCAAAAGCATAATTATCTTGCTTATGTACCAGTAGTAAAATATTACAATGGTATCTTTTACTTGAATGCATTGCTCTTCCTTATTTCTCACAGAGCTGCCCCTGCTGCTTGGTGAGGAGAGAAGAATCACATCCGCCTCCCCCCCTCCCCAACAGTGAACAGTTGCTTCACTGATAACAAATCTACAGCCTGCTGCTTGTTGGGCACATTTCTGCCTACATGACAACTTTTTGTCTCAGTGTTGAATCACAGTTCAAAAATTTTAAACATGTTTTACAACAGTATCTACACAATGCTTAAAGTTGCAAAGACTCATGTAATAGCTCAGAAGGTTAGTAATCTCAATTGCGGATGAAGATTGTACCATGATAGACGCCTGGCACAGGGTGGTGTAAAGACTTCTATAATTACGAAATGGATCTATATTTCTTTTCTTGCCAGGCTTCAGATCAAACAGAGGGCCTGTGGCCTGCCACTCCAATGTTCACTACTGAGATACAGCCTCCAGCCCTCCCCAGTGCTCACTACTGTGTTACACTCTCCAGCCCTCCCCAGTGCTCACTACTGTGTTACACTCTCCAGCCCTCCCCAGTGCTCACTACTGTGTTACACTCTCCAGCCCTCCCCAGTGCTCACTACTGTGTTACACTCTCCAGCCCTCCCCAGTGCTCACTACTGTGTTACACTCTCCAGCCCTCCCCAGTGCTCACTACTGTGTTACACCCTCCAGCCCTCCCCAGTGCTCACTACTGAGTTACACCCTCCAGCCCTCCAGATTTTCAGGCTGTTAAAGTATGGTGTGTGAGAGAATTGCACCTTGAAGCTATTTGGGAGAATTATCGTGCCTTGAATTTCAAGACAGATCTTGGCAGATCAAGACTGGATTTCTGTTCTGAAAGGTTCTCAACTTTCCTTTTCTATTTCTTGACAAAATCAAACTATCAAACAATAAAAACACTTGTAGTATTGAGTTGAGTTATATTTCAATTCATTCTAAAGGTTTTGTGTTCATACCTATTTTACTGTTGGCATGTATCACCTATCCTATTTGTCTGTCTGTCTGTCTGTCTGTCTGTCTATTTGCCTCTGATACTGATGGTTGAATGTGTTGGTAAGCACTCTATCATTGAGCTATATCCCCTTCCTTATTTTTGACTTTATAAAAACACATTGGGCTTCAATTTTTTTTATGAAGTGTAATTTTGCCAACTGCACAGAAAGGTAATTCTACTTCTTCCAAAATCTGGTATGTGTGTGTATGTGTGTGCAATAGTGCACATTTGTCCATGTGTGTGCAGAAGCCACAGGCCAACTCAGGTGTTGCTCCTCAGAGACCATCCACCTTGTCTTTTGCGTCTGAGTCTCTCATTGGCCTCATGCTCACCAAATTGGCCAGGCTAGCTAGCCAGCAACCTCCAGGGACCTGCCTGTCTCTGCCCTCACAAGAATGGGATTGCAAGCGTGTGCCTTCGTTCCCAGCATTTCTCTATGGGTTCTGGGGATCCAACATTAGTGTTCACGATTGCAAGGTGAACTCTTTTTTGAACAAGCTATCACCCAGCCACCCAAAGCGTACTTATGCGAGACTCATGAAGAATTAGGGAGAAGTAGTGCTGGAGAGAGTGGCAGAGGGAATCAGAAGCTATGTAAGGAAAGAGGAACGCGTGTGCTGGTGACGATAATAAGGACTAGTGGGTAGCATTGTCTAACGGAAGTGAGGAGAACCTCAGCATTGGAATAACTGAGTAACTAGGGTGCAAATTTGACTAGGAATATTATTAACACGCATTTCCCGAGGAAAGAATATAAATGCTAACTTATAATTCTCATCATTTCACTCATTAATTTTTTTTTAAAGCATCTCCTACAAGGCTGGGCAAAGAACACAAATGAATTTCTTCCTAGAGGTTAATTCCAGGAGAAAAGCCGACCCTGGGACCACTGATACTCCAGTTGCCTTTAGTGTGTAACAAGGGGAGGAAGAAAGCTAATGAGTGGGTGAGCATGTGCACAAGCAGTTTTAAGATTTTTTATATCAAGATGGCATTTAAGAATACTTAATTGATGTTTGTAGCCACAAATTGTTTCTGCCTTGCTAGGTTAGGAGTCAATCAGAAGCCCTTTGCTTTCTCTCAATATATTCTTTCTTCATATAATGAAGAAGATATTCAGTCTATAGTTTCCTCTATTCGAAAGTCTTTTTCAAATATATTTAATAACAACAGAGTAAAAAAGTAATAAGTTTAGACAAATGTCACAGTATCTTGCACATGTCACCTCATAGATCACACTGCTCCAGCAAGAACTCCAGGATAATCTAACTCAGCAGAGTGTTAGGTGTTTCTTGTTTTCTTTTACATACACGGGTGTTGTTTTGACTGTATGTATACCTGTGTACTGTGTGTGTACCTGGTGCCAGTGGGGGCCAGAAAAGGGCATCAGATCCCCCTGGAACTGGAGTTACAGATGGTTGTGGAATGCCATGTTGGGAATCAAACCCAGATTCTCTGCAAGTGTAGCCAGTGATGCTAACCCCAGAGCCATCTCTCCAGCCCCAAGCCTTCGTATTTTTAAGGCAGTCAATAACAACCCAAGATTCCATTCAAATGTGTCATGACTTGATCTTAGCTACCTTGTAAATTGTGTGAGCAATTTGGGAATGCAAAGTGAGACCTACCTTGGAACAGAGCAAGTAGGGGCGTGGAAGGGGTTGGCTGATGGGGTAGGTAAACATTTTTGACAATCCCCTATTTCCTCGTTTGCCTCATTTCTTTGAAGTGGTTAGCAGTCAACACTTTTGAGAGAATAAAGTTAAAGAAAACGAAATGCATTATAATCTAGTGGAGGATTGCTTTGTGCTTCTTTTTGATTCTACACATTAGAACTTTAATTAGTGCATGAGGATGGGGGAGGGGTGTTTCTGTGAGTTTCATTGACAGTTTTTACTGTCTGGAAGAATTTTAAGGATGGGCTGACATGGTGATTAATTTTTGATGAGCACTAAGAGAACTGCAATATCTGCGCATTGCTAGGAAGAAAAATCCCCAACATTGGACAGTTTTAGTGGATAGAACGTGTTTCTTTCTCTGAAAAATGACATTTTTGTGAAGGGCCACCTTGCTTGTTGCACAAGTTTCAGAACAGGTGGGGTGATGTCAAAAGCACACAGGAGGTGTGTTTCTCTTCAAAACACGTTTCTTCCCTTCCTCTGAATGCCTACAGGATGTCTGTGAAGGGAATCTGAGCAGGACAAGCTTTTCTAAAAGCTTCTCAGTTAACTCTGGTCTGTTATTTAGCCAAGGAACACTGGCTTGGCAGACACCCAGTATTAGTGTATGTCATTACGTATGGGTCATGAATGTGCAATTTTCAAACACCAAAAATTTGAAGAATTTAATTCATTCATTTTTAGGTAAACACTCTTTGAAGAAAGACTAGAGTGCTACTGATCTCTAAAAGTTTTTATGCCTGTCCAAATTGGATTATTGTTGTTGTTGTTATTAATTTTTCAGTCAGGAAGGGAAAATGGTATTTAGGACCAAAATAAATAACATCAGTGGCAACCTAGTGTTGACCAACTGAGTTAGACAATGGGGACAAAGAAAACACAGCAACCTCATCTGTATGCCTTTGTCCAGGAGGGGAATTCTGTCTTCATTATGACTTCACAAGTCAATGCAAATTAAATAAATAAACAGATCGATCCATCTGTGTCTGTCTTGTGTCCTTCCCTGTTTCTGTGATTAAAAACAGTGATAAAAAACAACCTAGGGGACAAATGGTTCATTTCAGCATTGAGTTTCAGGTTACAGTGGGAAGCCCAGGCTCCCGGAGCTTGAAAGCTACCATGTGATATGTGGCATGTGTCAGAGGAGAGCCTGTCTCACTTTGCTCCACTGTGATGGACTCTGACCAGAAACTATGAGCCCAAAGCAAGCCTTTCTCCCTTAAGCTGTTCTTGGGGTGTCTTACCAGAGCAACAGGGAAAGAAGCTCAGATGGGGCCCTCACTCCTCTGGAGATACAGAATAGGAAACCTGATACAACGAGGGCTTGGTATTTTGGTTTGGGGTCAGGCCTGGTAGTTTTGTTTGTGTTTGATCTGCTCTCCTTGAACCTGTGGAGTTGGTTCGACACATAACTATTACTCGCTAGCAATTCATGCTGTTTTTTGTTTGTTTGTTTGTTTTAGCAGAGAGGAGTTCCATCACAACTAGAAGTCTTTTCGGTTGTATTCGGGTTTTGCTTCTGCAGGCCACTATTCTACGACAGCCTCAGTTGGGGTCAGGATGAAGATGGATGAGTAAATAGAAATGTATATTTTAGCTGCATGAATGCAGAGGGATTTTCCCTGGATGGGCAGTCCTCCTACAAACACATGAAAGTGTGTTTCGCTACCTACATCTTAGTGTCTAGATGCCAATGGAATGCTGAAAAGGAAGCCAACTGCTCGCAAAGTGAGATAGCATACTTCATAAGCAGAGATGATCAGCTGGAGGACGTTCCCAGAGTCCTTCTGAAGCAGTCCCACGGTCGCCCCAGGGATGAGTTTTGCATAATTCTGTAAACAACCACAAAAGAACAGGGAACCAATCAATGCTGATTGCTATTAATAACAGACATGTTAAGGGCAGAGTTCATTTTGCTGTCTGTGATCCCTTCTCTTTAACTCGCCTCAGGAAAGCAGGCCCCAGTAGATCTAAGATGCCACTAGGTTTGCCATACTACACAGCTGTGATTTATATCATGTCCTAATCAGACTTATATAACATCATTTTCCCAGAAGTTTTGGGAAGGCTTCCACAAACGTCTCCTCCTTCTTTTCCCATTATTGCAGAAACCAAATTTTAGTGCACACAGGGGCAAGGAAGGAATCGGGTGGCTTCAAGTCATTAGGTCTAGAGCTCTTAATGAGCAATCAGTAGAGAAAGGGAGTGAACTCTTGCATGCTAGCTATTAATTCCCCACTTCTGCCTGTAATCAGCAACCCACAGGGAGTCAGAATAGGCCTAGAGTTGGGTGGGATCGAGCCTTTCTGCATCATGATTGCTTAGAACCAATCCTAAGCGGTCCGCATTCTCCACTTACATTGACTGTCCTGAGCTGTCCTTTCCACCTGGGGAGGATTTCCACTATGGTCTCATCAACAGCTTAGGCAAGGAGCGCGGCCAAGAGATAAGGTATTGCTGGGAGCAAGCTGTCTAGCCACGTGACTGTTCTCTTTTAAGTTTTATGTTGTAATACTTTATTTTCAAATGAAAAGTGTGTTGTGTGTGTGTGTGCGCGCACACACACATGCACGCATATGTGCGTGTACAGGTCAATGTTGAGTGCCTTCTTCTATTTTCTCCATCATATTTATTGCCTTGGTGTGTATGCACATTTGCATGTGCCTGTAGGAGTGTGTGTGTGTGTGTGTGTGTGTGTAGGCTTATGCTTGATGTCAGGAATCTTTCTAAACCATTATCCATCTTATACACAGAGTCAGGCTCTCTCATTGAACCCAGAGGTTGTCGTTTGGTTAGTTTGGATACCCAGTGTGATTCAACAATTCTCTCACTCTGCTAGGATTAAAAGCAAGCTTTTAATGTTCACCCAGCTTTTCTGTGGATTCTGGGAATCTGAACCCTGATCTTTGTGAGCTATCTCCCCAATCTTTTTCACCTGACTTTTTGAGACAGGTTCTCTCATTGGAATTTGAGCTTGTCTAGTTGGCTATGTTGGCTAGCTAGCAAACTCCAGGAACCTTTGCTTTTGCCTCCCCAGTCCTGCAATTGCAGGTACCTACAGTTGCTTATAACCCTCTCTGTTGGTATGTTCGCTTGTTTGTTGGTTGGTTCTGGGGCTCTGAATCCAGTTTCTCAAGCTTGCAGAACCAGCGCTTTACCGACAGAGCCATCTCCACAACCCCAGAAGTGACGTTTTCTGAAGTATTTCTGTCCATCCCTGCCTTCTCTTCAACAGAGACTTTCAAGAATACATCGGTGCCGTTTTTTTCTTAAAAGAAATGAAGTTATACTTTCAATATTAACTACAATTCTACTATAATCAAAGTCTTCCATAATCCGCAGAGAAGTCAAGCATGGCAGAAAATACCTGGGATTTTGTGATCCTGGGGAGGCCAAGGTGGGAGTTTTGAGGTCAGCTTGGCCTACACAGCAAGTTTTGAGTCATCTTTATATACATATATATGTATATATATATACATATATATACATATATATGCGTGTGTGTATTTCAATTTCAAACAAAATAAAGCAAAGATTAAGGAAAGAAATTAAATAGATCCCAGGACCACCAACCATAGGTAGGCACCACCGACCAATGGGCTGGGCCCTTATCCACCAATCACTCATTAAGAAAATGCCTTACAGGCTTGCCTACAGCCCAGTCCTCCCAAGTTGCTTTTGGTCATGGTGTTTCATCATAGCAATAATGACTCTAACTAAGACACCATCTTATTCTAAAGATGATTGAAGTGGTTTAAGAAATACACAAAACTCAATTAGAATAATTATCATTAATTACAATAGTCACTATAAGAAGTCAGGCCCAGCGGGGAGAAGTAGAGGAATTGTAAAGAGTTCAATGTCAAAATGCAAAGGACCTGGTGGCCCCAGGGAGCTGTCAGGGGGGTGCCCCTGGGGAAACGCTAGCTCTCTCCACCTCTGGTATGGGAACAATGGGCTTCAGTTTTGTGTGTGGATTTTGCAACAATCCACTTACTCCTGTATTCATGTTCACCGTTGCTAGAATCTGAACTCTCCGATGTGCCACCTGCTGCCACTTGTCGCTGTATCTTTGTATTGAGGGGGTCGAGGGGAGCCATGGCAGGTGGCATAGCTCATCTTACTCCTTCCAATCACATCATATTAGAGAAGGCCCCTTCCAGGTCTCGGAGTAAGGGCGAGCTTGTGAAAATGGAGGAAGACCCTGCTTTACTGGCTTACCTCTTCATATAAACACATGTCACAAAGGGCCATGAAGCAGGAGGCTGTGGTTAATAGCAAACACCTAAACAGGAACTTGAATTCCACTCAAAGCGGAGCCAGGATGTGTGTGTATTTGCCTGATCCTAGAAGAGAAAGCTGTGGGAACCTTTGTTCCTGACAAAGAAAGGTTTAGGTCCTTTGGAAAAGGAATTTCAAGGTCCTTAGCTGGGCACGGAACTTGAAGGACATCTTAGCATCCCCACGGATGAGCTAAGATGAACTGTTGTAGTTTTGCAAGCACCGGTTCAAGTGGCTCTGAATTTGGGGTTAATTCCTGGCTAATAACGCGGATCCCCTCCGCTTCCTAATTTCTAATTATGATCCTGCATGCTGTATGACATTTGGCATTTGGCTATTAGGACAAGTGGCTAATGTTAATCATGCTTGCTGATTGCCACTAGAGCCAGGGTACAAAGGAGCTGGCAGCCAGTAGCAGTAGCCAGGGATGACACTGACAATTATATAGAGGAAAACTATTCATTAATTTTTGAATGCTGATTTTTTTTCCTCCCAAAACTATTTCAAATAATGAACTAAAAACATGACAGCTTGGCTTCGTTACCCCAACACGGGGTAAAAGCATACTTTAAATCTTCACAGTATTGTGATCACTGTAAAGATTGAGCAAACGCCTTTCCTTCATTCGAATCTTCAAGCAGTGCTGTAAGTTGTGATTAAACACGTTTAAAGTTAGAAAAAGTGCTGCTTTTCGTGTGTGTTGGCGAACTACAGCCCTGTGACTTAGACAGACAACGCTGACCCCTGGCGTCAGAAGGACGTCAACATGATGGCACGTGAGCTGATTAGAGATGCAAGGTCCCACGTGTGGGCGTGAACGCTGGCTCTCTTAGCCTTCTGTGGATTATCCTAATTACAGAGGCTCTCGGATCCCCCTGCTCGTTCTACCTCCCAGGAGTTCCTGGGCTTGCTTTAAAAAAATGGTGACTGGTTTGTTTAACAGTATGTTTGCAAGTGGAAAGGGGTCATTCAATCGGCAGGCATCAGAGGGTCACGGTGCCCAAATGCACACCCGCACCCTGACCTCCTCTTCAGAGAGCAACTCCTCGCTTCGTGGTGCTTGATGCCTGGTTGTCAGACCCGTTTTAGGTGGGCATACTTGCTGAGAGCAGAGGAATGTGTGTCACCTGCGGACTGACAAGAGTGACTCTGACACGCTCTGGCTGAGCACCTTGGTGAGCATTCCTGTGCGTTGGGAAGGCTCTTAGCGTTCTGCCTGGCTAGCAAAAGCTCCCAGCGGGCTGTCCATTCCTACTCTGGCACACTTCCTGTTGACCTCCCAAGAGCACCGTTGACTTTTAGGTGGGTGTTTAGTATTGACTGTCCTCTTTCAGGCCAACTTGATTTGTTTCTTTTTGCCCTGCCTGATGGTGACTCAAGCCCAGATCTACTCTATGTAGTTCCGGCTTCAAGCCGGGATCTCTACAGCCTTCTCTTGTAGTATTTCTGCTACGGTCTCAAAGACTCTTCATCGCCTCTGACCTCACCGGCAATCGTTTTTCAGGGACCACAGTACTCATGTCTTTTGTTAGATGGTGGAAATCCGAAGCCAAGTTTTCACAAGCTGACTGGAAGTTTTCATAAACAATTTACAGATTGCAGTGCTCAGAACAGCCCTTCGGGCTCTGTGTCTGCACTCTCCTTTCCATGCAGACGTCCTAAGGTGTCACCAACACCATGACTTTATCGTATGCTCAGCACTGTTTTATCTCAGCATTGTGTATTTAGCATTACATTCGCAACCTACTTCAGTGTTTCTGATCTTAAAATATATTTATGAAATATAGTTCATTGAAATGCATTTACCGGAATGCTGGCTCATATTTAATCTGCTCACAAATATTTTATGTGATCGCACCAAAATTTTTCTTACTTCCTTATCTATTTTTACTCTCTTTTTCCTATTAGTATTATCCACATCTTTCTTTCTATAATACATACACGTAGCATATACACAATCAGTATACAGGTAAATGGGTGTTTAAAAGTAAGCAAGTATAGCTACCGTGACAACCTTGAGGGTAAATATAACCAGTCTCTAGGGCCCTCCCTTGTGTGCAGTCAATCATGACTGCACCGCCTTCAAAGGTGTGACAAAAACTTTGTACCTGTCACTATAGAATCTAGAGGAGAGGTCTTTGTCTTTGTTACTTTTTCTACAGCCGGGACAAAACACCATGACCAAGGCAACTTAGAGAAGGAAGGATTCACTTGGGCTTAAGGTGCCAGGGACATGGGAGTTCATCATCATCATGGCAGGGAGGCATGGCAGCAGGCAGGCGTGGCAGCAAAGCTACAGCTGAGAGCTCACATCTTAGAGCAGGAGAAAGAGAATAAACTGAGAGCAAAGCCCTATGCTCTCAAAGCCCCCTCCCTTTCAGTGGCATACTTTGTCTAGCAAGGCCACACCTCCTAAGCCCCCTGAAATAGTGCCACCAACTGGGGACCAAGTATCCAAGTACATGAACCCATGGAGACAGTCTCATGTAGGCCACCACAATCTTCATGGGTTTAGGATTAAAAGAAATGTCTTAAGTAGAACACAAAAACC